GCGCGTGCGTGCGTGTGCGTGTGCGTGCGTGTGCATCTCTTTATGTATGTCTGCCTGCCTGCTCGCCTGGCTGCCTGCATGCCTGTGTCTCCCTAGAGATAGGTGTGTATTTAGAATGTGTGTATACGTATATATGTACACAACATGTATAGATATAGACATAGACAGAGATGAGACAGATAGATAGATAGATCCGTAAATAGATAAATACGTAGACAGACATCAGCTTGTACACCTACTAACACACACGCATCCAACCATATATATATATATATATCCATCCATCTATCCATCTAGCAACCCATTTTCCCATCTATCTAGCCATCTGTCTGTCTATCTTCCTGTCTGTGTAACTATCTATCTGTCTATCTATCTAACTACCGGCACACCGACTTGTGTTTTTGTGCATCTTCATTAACACGAACCCTGCCCAAATCGCTGGCCTGAAGCTTGTAGTCGCGAGGCCCGGCTCTCAGCAGTCTTCAGCTCGCCCTCAGGGCCGCTGAAATGGGGCGTGGGTGCTCCGAATTTTCATCCGCCTCTTTCGGGGTGTCCCGTCATATCGCGTTGCCCAAAAACGCTAGTTTTGGCTGGCTCTGGGCCTGGGTGTTGTGTTCAGCTATGTTTGTTCTTCACAAACTTCAGGGTTTCAGAATCACTGGGCTTGGCCCAAGGTCCCGAAGGCATTGGAGTTCTTGGCAGGTTTTTTTTCTGGACGTCCCTTTCCCGTTCGCTAATGCTTGAGCTTTTTCAAGGCCGAAGGAATTGCGGCTTCGGACTCCATGCGTGACATCATTCCATTAACTTGACTTATGATGGTCTCCTGTAGCCGAATTCGGTCAGGGTCAGGGTTGGGGCTTTGAGCAGCTTTGGCTTCGGATGTTCTCGACAGCAGCCATGTCTGTTAGGCCCTCTGTGACAACAGGTTGGGGAGGGCTCCGCTCTTGGACTCTGCCCACCTCCAGGACACGGATTCGCTTGGACTGCGAGGCCACCTCCGACCTCGTTGCACTTCTGCTACTACTACTCTCCTCCTCCCCCTCTGCCTCCTCCTCCTGCTACAGCTGCTCCGACTCCTTCTCCTCCTCTGCTGCGCTACTGCTACTGATACTGCCACAGCAGCCACTTCTACAAATCTTACTCTTACTCCTAGTCCTACTACTTCTACTACTCATACTGACACTCCTACTCCCACTCTTACTCCTACTCATAATCCTACTCCTACTGCTCCTCCTCCTACTACTACTACATCTGCTACTACTCCTGCCACTACTACTACTACTACTACTACTACTACTACTACTACTACGACTACTACTACTACTACTACTACTACTACTACTACTACTCCTTTTACATCTGGACTTGATGAATGCCAGCACCCCACTGCTACTACTCCTACTACTACTACTACTACTACTACTACTACTACTACTATACTCCTACTACTACTGTACTACTACTCCTGCTCCTTCACCGGCTGCTGCTCCCGCTTGTACTACTGCAACTACAGCTTTTGCTAGTACTGCTACTACAGTACTGCTGCTGCTGCTGCTGCTGTCCAAGCAAGGTGGGCTTCTTCACTCTGGCGCGACTTCCATGCAAAAATCATTCATCTTGCAATGGCCTTGGCCATCTGATCAGCTAGACACTCGACCTTGCACACGGTGGTATGCCAATTCTGTTCTGCCTATGCGCGCTGTTCCGGTCGAAAAGGCCAGCACTGCGGCCGCTGTTTGGCGAGGACATGCTGTGTTGCGGGGCCTTGCGCCGGAATCAAAAGTCAGATCACTCGGGACACGACCGGATATTTGGACAACATAACTAGATTCAGAACGCGTGTCTCAAGATACCTGCTAGCCATCGCTTACGAGCAACTCCCAGCTACTTTGCAATAGTGTCCTGCGCGGCAGCATGGCAAACGTGTAGATTGCAGTTGCAACCTCGCATGCAAAACTCTCTTTGGCACAAAGTGCTGGGATGCGTTGCATTCACCTGCTTTACCTTACCTTACCTTACCATACCTTGGGCTATCAACGCTAAGGAACATGGCGGCTGTCAAACTCGTCAGCCTTTGCCTGACAGGCTCATCAACATCAGCATCATTTCAGGCACTTGCAAGGGCACCTTGATAGTGGCGACAAGCTCTGCACGTGACCTCCACTGAGACGTAAAACATCGTAACGAACCAAGAAAGCATTGACAAACAGCTACTGTAACTCTGGTTGAGGCTGCGCTTCGACAGAAACCTCGCTGTTCTCAAATCCTGGTTCAACCGGATCACCGCCTGCGCCTGGCTTCGGGGAAGAAACCCGTTCGAGTGTGTAACATTCGAGCGGAGCAATGCAGGCGCCTTTCGGACCATCAGCACATGCCAACGGCGAACGGCATGTGAGGCATGTGTGCAAACTTCGTGTGTGCTCGTGTGCTGGCTGCATTGCACACTCTGCATGTACCATTAGCAGGATCAGAAGGACGGCATGCGCGCGTGTGCATACTCGTCATCAGAGGGTGGGAGATACAAGCTGCTGAGGTGCTACCTTCCGGCGAGGTCTTGGTGGAAATAGCGCGATCCGACTGCTCCTAGCCATGTCTTAACTCTCCAGCACCAGATTACCAGCCCGGGATGGACCTCTATGACCGACGCAATCGGAACAGTGCACCGAGAACAGTTTCGGATTTCATTTCGGAGCTTCACGAGAACATCGGAAGAGAAAGAAACTCAGTGAGCGCAGTACCAAGGTAGCGGACGAATAGAGTCGGCACGGCACAGAAAGGATCCTCTTCAAACACAATGCGGCGGTTTTTTTAGGCTCGGCACGCGACTGGGAGAGTTGTTCGTGAGTCTGCACATCCCCTGGCCTGACAGCATTGCACACGCAGAACAAGCGAGCAGTTTGGTTCTCACCGACGCTTCAGGGAGATGGGCAGATCTCAAGCTCATGCCACAGACCCGGATTCTTGTGTGCGAGCAAAGTGCCCCCATTGGCACGCCCAAAGCTCGCAAACTCGATCACGAGCCACAGCACGGCAATCATTAACGTAAAAGCCCCACAGTAAAGGATTTCCGGCTTCATCTGCACAGTTTTGTACAAGACAGCCCCCGTCAGAAAGCTGACAAGGTTAGGCATCAAGGAGGCGATGTTAAACCCCTGAAGGCCGAGCAGTGACCACCTGCGCCAGCAGAAAGCTCGATTTCAGGGATGCGGAGTCTGAAAAACGAAGTTCTCGGGCTCGCACCCTCAGGCCACCAGGATCCAAAGGTACCCAAAACCAATCAGGAGTCAGACAAATCCTTCAAGGTGGGTCTAGGGTTCACTTCTCAGGAAGGGCACGGGAGCACAGGTGCAAGCAGTGTCCTTGCCAGGTTTGCCCTTTCCTTCGGATTTGCCCTTGCCCTCAGATTTGCCCTTGCCATCCTTTCCCTCCGACTTGCCCTTAATGTCCTTGCCTTTGCCTTTGCCATCCTTTCCTTCAGACTTGCCCTTCCCTTCTCGAGGATCCTTGCCTTCCTTTCCCTCCTTGCCTTTGCCTTTGGGCTTCCCTTTACCTTCAAGCTGGGTCAAGTTTGGAACCCACGACTTCTCCATCTCAACCAGCGAGCCTTTCGGGACCGGTTGCGGAGGGCTCGCTGCGCTGTTCGCGCCAATCGGCAGCTGCCCATCAGCCGACAGCTGCTGCGCCTCTGGAATTCAGGGAAGGGCGCTCTCCACAGCTCTGTGCTCCTCTGCTGAGTCCGCCGCATCGCCAGCAGATCGAATGACCAAGCCCATCCCCCGTGGTGCCTTAACTTGGCTGCTTGACAGCGGAATAACACGCAGCCCGGCTCTCTGTTGAAATTCGGGCGGTCGCATTCCGACCAGGCTTGCGTGCGGCGGCCGCGGCTTTCTCCTCACGGACACAAAGCATGTATGTGGGTAGTTGTCAAAATTATGGTCCTTTTTGGGGTACCCTAAATTATAAGTGCCGTATTATAATAAGGACCCAAAAAGGGACCATAATTTTGACAACCACCCATGTTCCTCTACGGAGCTGAACGGAAGCATTGCTGCGAACAGTCTAAGGCTTGCCGAGCATCAAACTAGCTCCCCTGCTGTCATGCAAAAGTCAATCTTCAATCCGAGGCCTCGTTCTCTTTTCGTCTTCTTTCTCTTTCGAGTTTCTGCCTCTCACGTTCTTCACCTCAGAGCTGATTGCACGTGCATGTGTGACACAATGCCCCTGCGGCAGATTGCACGAAGGCTTTTCAACTCTTGCAGCTTCAACTGTCACCCAGCAGTCCAACATGCGATTGTCCCAATGCCAATCCCCTACCTCAGCTTCGAACGGTCTGCCTCACGTGCTGCGGCTGCTGCAAGCGCAGCTGCTGCAGCACCACCTGTTCGGAAATCTGTAGGTGCCCTGAGACAATAGCACACACAAGAATGTATCCGAATCACTGAAAAAGCCTTTGAAGCCCTTCACATTGACATCCATAGCTGTATGCCACCCTTTGTGTTGCCTGACCGTGCTGCAGCACGTCTTCCCGCCGGAGTCGTCGGGATCTTGGCAGGGTCGGCTGACACCAGGTGCTGCTGACTGGAGTTTGATACAAGCCGCGCGTGCGCTATCCGTTTTACATAATAGCTGGACTGCCGCCAAGCAGGATGCTGAGCACAAGTCCGGAGCTCCAGAACGCAGAGTCGCAGTAGCTCTGGACCTGTATGAAACGCGGTGGACAGTTTGGCATCGAAGGCAAGTCACAGTTGGCGCACTGCAGGTCGTCATCGTAGGTTCCTCAAGCAACTCGCCGTACGAGGAACTTGACAAGACGGGAAGCTCATCCAGCAAGCTGCAGGATTCTACCCTCTGAACATCAGGGTCGCAGACCGTATGCGTCTTCACCTTCACCTGTTAGCGGAAAAAGCAGCATGTGACATCACTGCGGCTGACGAGTAACTTCAAGCAGGCCAGTGGGCAGCAGGTTCTGCGGGACGTCTGTTCCAATAACTTCAGCCCACTCAAATTTCAAACGACTTGGCCGCTTCACTGGTCGCACTGGGCACCGCGAACTGCAGCTAAAAGAAAGTCGTACACACACGTGTGCTTATATATGTATGTATGTATAAGCACACATACAAGCATACAGCGTAGATGTGTTTAGGATGTTATAACGAGTGAACAAACATGACTATACCCAACTGCTTGAGGTTCGAGCATCCTGTATACCCAAGTTCTGTTCTCTGTGGCGATTCACACTGAAAGCATTGCTACAGATTTTCTCCGCAGCCTCCTGCAGATGTGCATTCATTACTGCTTGTAGTATCTGGTAGTCTAGTCAGTGCGACCTATACGGCGAGAATAACGTTCGTAACAGCAGCAAGTTCTCACAATTAAGGTTATTGATATTATTGCCATTCTTAGTAATGCCAAGTAGTAGCACCAGCAGCAGCAGCAGCAGCAGGAGTGCTAGTGGTAGCGGCAGTGATGGTAGTTAGTAGTAGTAGTAGTAGTAGTAGTAGTAGTAGTAGTAGTTCACCGTAGCAGTAGTAGCAGTAGCAGTA